CCATAGCTCCAACAGCCCCTAGAGCCCCCATACCCCCCATAGCCCCTATACCCCCTGCACCCCCCATAGCGCCCCATAGCCCCCATAGCCCCCATCCCCCCTACACCCCCCATACCCCCCATACCCCCCATCCCCCCCATAGCTCCCCATAGCGCCCCATCCCCCCCATCCCCCCTATAACCCCCCATACCCCCCATACCCCCCATACCCCCCATCCCCCCCATAGCCCCTATACCCCCCATACCCCTATAACCCCCATAAGCCCCATCCCCCCCCATCCCCCCCATAGCCCCCATAGACCCCATAGACCCCATACCCCCTACACCCCCCATAGCCCCCATACCCCCATAGCCCCCATCCCCCCCATAGCTCCCATCCCCCCCCTCCCCCCCCCAGCCCCAGGTCCCATCCATCTCCATCAGCGGCGGGTGATGGGCGGTGGGGGCGGGGCGGGACCTGCCCATTAACGTTAATGGGAAGATGGAGAGGGGCCGCTGCCGCCCCTCCCCCCACCCCCACCCCCTCCCCCCACCCCCAATGACCTATGGGGCTGCTATGGGGCTGCTATGGGGCTGCTATGGGGCTGCTATGGGGCTGCTATGGGGCTGCTGCTATGGGGCTGCTATGGGGCAGCTGTCATCGAGCTGCTATGGGGCTGCTATGGGGCAGCTGTCATCGAGCTGCTATGGGGCTGCTGTCATCGAGCTGCTATGGGGCTGCTATGGGGTTCCTATGGGGCTGCTCTGGGGTTCCTATGGGGCTGCTATGGGGCTTCTATGGGGCTGCTATGGGGATGCTATGGGGATGCTATGGGGCTGCTATGGGGCTGCTATGGGGCTGCTATGGGGTTCCTATGGGGTTCCTATGGGGCTGCTATGGGGATGCTATGGGGATGCTATGGGGTTGCTCTGGGGTTCCTATGGGGCTGCTATGGGGCTGCTATGGGGCTGCTATGGGGATGCTATGGGGTTCCTATGGGGCTGCTATGGGGTTCCTATGGGGCTGCTATGGGGCTGCTATGGGGCTGCTATGGGGCTGCTATGGGGCTGCTATGGGGTTCCTATGGGGCTTCTATGGGGCTGCTATGGGGTTCCTATGGGGCTGCTATGGGGCTCCTATGGGGCTTCTATGGGGCTGCTATGGGGCTGCTATGGGATTCCTATGGGGCTTCTATGGGGCTCCTATGGGGGTTCTATGGGGCTTCTATGGAGCGCCTATGGGGCTTCTATGGGCTTCTTATGGGGCTTCTATGGGGCTCCTATGGGGTTCCTATGAGGCTTCTATGGGGTCCTATGGGGCTCCTGTGGGGCTGCTATGGGGCTTCTGTGGGTATCCTATGGGGCTGCTATTGGCTTCTATAGGGCTTCTATGGGGCTCCTCTGGGGCTTCTGTGCAGCTCTTGTGGGGCTCCTATGGGGTTTCTATGGGGCTCCTATGGGGTTTCTATGGGGCTCCTATGGGGTTCCTATGGGGCTCCTATGGGGTTTCTATGGGGCTCCTATGGGCTTCCTGTGGGGCTTCTATGGGGCTCCTATGGGGCTGCGCTGGGGCTCCTATGGGGCTTCTATGGGGCTCCTATGGGGTTTCTATGGGGCTCCTATGGGCTTGCTGTGGGCCTTCTATGGGGCTCCTTTGGGGCTGCTATGGGGCTGCTATGGGGGTTCCTATGGGTCTTCTATGTGGCTTCTATGGGGCTGCTATTGGCTTCTATGGGGCTTCTATGGGGCTGTTATGGGGCTGCTATGGGTCTTCTATGGTGCTCCTATGGTGCTCCTATGGGGATGCTATGGGGGTTCCTATGGGGCTTCTATGGGGCTTCTGTGGGTATCCTATGGGGCTGCTATTGGCTTCTATGGGGCTTCTATGGGGCTGCTATGGGGCTGCAATGGGGCTCTTATGGGGCCCCTATCTGTCTTTTGGGGCTCCCATGGGGCTTTTATGGGGTTTCGATGGGGCTTCTATGAGCTTTTATGGGGCCCCTATGGGGGTTCTGTGGGGTTCCTACGGGGCTGCTATGGGGCTTCTATGGGGCTCCAATGGGGTTCCTATGGGGCTTCTATGTGGTTCCTATGGGCCCCTATGGGGCTCCTATGGGGCTTCTATATGGCTCCTATGGGGTTCATATGGGGCTTCTATGGGGCTGCTATGGGGCCCTTATGGGGCTCCTATGGGGCTCCTATGGGGCTCCTATGGGGCCCTTATGGGGCTCCTATGGGGTTCCTACGGGGCTTCTATGGGGCTGCTATGGGGCTCCTATGGGCTTCTATGGGGTTCCAATGGGGCTCCTATGGGGCTCCCATCATGCCCCGCGCGGCAGCCGGGGAAGGGGGGGGCGGGGCTATGTGGTCCCAATGGCAACAGCGCCCCCCATTGCCCCCCATTGCCCCATAGACCCTATGGCTCTATGGGTCAGGACCTATGGGTCAGGCTCTATGGGTCAGGATCTATGGGTCAGGACCTATGGGTCAGGCGCTATGGGTCAGGCTCTATAGGTCAGCCCCATGGGTCAGGCGCTATGGGTCAGGCTCTATAGGTCAGCCCCATGGGTCAGGCGCTATGGGTCAGGCTCTATGGGTCAGGATCTATGGGTCAGGACCTATGGGTCAGGCGCTATGGGTCAGGCTCTATGGGTCAGCCCCATGGGTCAGGCTCTATGGGTCAGGCTCTATAGGTCAGCCCCATGGGTCAGGCGCTATGGGTCAGGCTCTATGGGTCAGCCCATAATCACGCAAAAACCACCCCAAAATCCCCCCCAAACCACCCCAAAATCAACCCAAAACCACCTCAAAATCACTCCAAAACCACCCCAAACCTGCCCAAAATCCCCTCAAATCACCCCAAATTCACACCCAAAACCACCCCAAAACCACCCCAATATCATTCCAAAACCACCCCAAACCTGCCCAAAATCCCCTCAAATCACCCCAAATTCACCCCCGAAAAAAACCCAAACACCCCAAATAAACCCTAAAATACCTCCCCCAAAGCCTCCAAATCACCCCAAAAGCAGCCCCAAAACACCCCAAAATCACCTGCAACCACCCCAAAATCAGCCCCAAAAGAGCCCCAAATCACCCCAAATTAACCCCCAAAATCACCCCCGAATCAGGTCAAAAGACCCCTAAAACACCCTAAAACCACCCCAAATCACCCCAAAACACCCCCAAAATCACTCCCAAATCAGTCCCCAAACACCACCAAATCGGCCTGAAATCCCCCCAAAACAGCCAACATAACCGCCCAAATCACCCCAACACCCCCAAAACAGCCCCAAACCGCATCAAAACCACCCCAAAACAGCCGCAAACCACCCCCAAACACCCCAAATCATCCCAAAACCACCCCAAAAACACCCCCAAAAACACCCCAAAACCACCCCAAACCATCCCAAAATCACCCCAAAACCACCCCAAAATCTCCCCAAGATCACCCCAAAACCACCCCAAAATCACTCCAAAAACACCTCAAAACCACCCCAAAACCACCCCCAAATGATTCACCCCCAAAATCACCCCAAAACCACCCCCAAAACCACCCCAAAAGTCACCCCAAATCACTCCAAAAACACCTCAAAACCACCCAAAAACCACCCCAAAAATAACCCCCAAAACCACCCCCAAAAAACCACACAAAATCACCCCAAAAACACACAAAATCACCCCCAAATCCCACCCCAAAACCATCCCAAAATCACCCCAATTCACCCCAAAACCACCCCAAAACCACCCCAAATCACCCCAAAACCACCCCAAATCATGCCAATATCACCACCCCAACCCTCCCCCAACCACCCCCAAAACCACCCCAAAATCCCCCCAAAACCACCCAAAACCCCCCCAAAACCACCCCAAAACCACCCCACCCCCCCAACCCCCCCCTTTTTACCCCCCCTTCAGCCCCGTTCTCCCCTCCCCCCATTCACGTTCACCTGCTGACGTCATCACTTTCACTTTTAATGAAGTTTTTTGTGGTTTTTTTTCCCATTTCCCCCCCCCCCCCCCCGCCCCTTTTTATTTTTTTTAAATTTTTTTTTATTTTTTTCTCCTTTTTTCCCCGGGAATTTTATTTTTTTTGAATTTTTTTTTTTTTTTTTGAAATTTTTTTTTATTTTTTTTTCTCACGACGACAAAAATTTTTTTTTTTTTTAAACCGTTTTTTTTGTTGGGGGGGAGGGGGAGGGGGAGGGGCGAGGACCCCCCCCCAAAAAACCCCTCCCCCACCCCCCCTCCCCTTCCAACCCCTCCCCCCCCATAAGGCGAAGCGCCCCTCCCCCCTCCCCATAGAGCTCAATGGGGGTGGGGCTTAAAGGGGGGCGGGGCTTAAATTGGGGATGGGCTTAAAGGGGGAGGGGCTTAAATGGGGGTGGGGCTTAAAGGGGGTGGGGGTTAAAGGGGGGTTGTGCCCCCCCCTTGGGCTTTTTTTTGGGGGAAAAAAAGCGTTTTTTGGGTGTTTTTGGGTGTATTTGGGTGTTTTGGGGTGTTTTTGGGTGTTTTTGGGGTGTTTTTGGGGTGTTTTGGGGTGTTTTTGGGGTTCCGGTTTGGGGGGGGTCTCAGTAGTAGGTTTCTTTCTCGACCCAACCTGTAGGAGAGATGGGAGAGGGGGGGTTCAAGGCACCCCTAAAAGCCCCATAGACACCCATAGGACCCCATAGACACCCATAGGACCCCATAGATACCCCATAGACCCCCATAGGACCCCCATAGACCCCCATAGAACCCCCAAGACTCCCCCTATGCCCCTTAGGACCCCCCTTAGGACCCCATAGACCCCCATAGACCCACATAGACCCACATAGACCCCCAGGACCCCCAAGCCCCCCTCCTTGGGTACCACTACCCATGCTCAGGGATGAAGGATGCCCCACATAGACCCCACATAGACCCCCATAGACCCCCATAGACCCACATAGACCCCCATAGACCCCCATAGACGCCCCATAGACCCCCCAGGACCCCCAAGCCCCCCTCCTTGGGTACCACTACCCAGAGGATGCTCAGGGATGAAGGATGCTGCTCCCCCCCTTAGGACCCCATAGACCCCCCATCGACCCCCATAGCCCCCCATAGACCCCCATAGCCGCCCCATAGCCGCCCCATAGCCGCCCCATAGCCCCCCATTCCCACCTCCGGGGTTGCGGCGGAGGATGAGCTTGCGGATCTCATCATAGACGAAGATGAGGAAGCTGTAGGGGAAGGCGCAGAACCACCAGCTCGGCCTGGGGGGGATAGAAAACATGGCTAAATCACCCCAAAAACGGTTAAATTCACCCCAAAAATGCTTAAATTCACCCCCAAAACGGTTAAATCACCCCAAAAACGGTTAAATTCACCCCAAAAATGGTTAAATCACCCCAAAAACGGTTAAATTCACCCCAAAAACGGTTAAATCACCCCAAAAACGATTAAATCACCCCAAAAACGCTTAAATTCACCCCAAAAACGGTTAAATCATCCCAAAACTGCTTAAATTCACCCCAAAAACGCTTAAATTCACCCCAAAAAGGGTTAAATCCACCCCAAAAATGGGTTAAATCACCCCAAAACCGCTTAAATTCACCCCCAAAACGCTTAAATTCACCCCAAAAAGGGTTAAATCACCCCAAAAACGGTTAAATCACCCCAAAAACGCTTAAATTCACCCAGAAAATGGTTAAAGCACCCCAAAAACGGTTAAATCAACCCAAAAACGCTTAAATTCACCCCAAAACGGTTAAATCACCCAAAAAATGCTTAAATTCACCCCAAAAATGGTTAAATCACCCCAAAAACGGTTTAATCACCCCCAAAACGGTGAAATCACCCCAAAAACGCTTAAATTCACCCCAAAAACGGTTAAATCACCCCAAAAACGGTTAAATTCAACCCAAAAACGGTTAAATCACCCCAAAAAGGAGTTAAATTACCCCAAAAATGCTTAAATTCACCCCAAAAACGGTTAAATCACCCCAAAAACGCTTAAATTCACCCCCAAAACGGTTAAATCAGCCCCAAAAGCTTAAATTCACCCCAAAAAGGGTTAAATTCACCCCAAAAACGGTTAAATCACCCCAAAATTGCTTACATTCACCCCAAAAACGGTGAAATCACCCCCAAAAATGGTTAAATTCACCCCCAAAACGGTTAAATTCACCCCAAAAATGGGTTGAATCCACCCCAAACCCATCCTCAGGGCATTCAAGACCCAGAACACCCCCAAACACCCCATGGAGTTCCTTAGGACCCCATAGAACCCCATAGACCCCTATAGCCCCCCATAGATGCCCCATAGACACCCCATAGACACCCCATAGACACCCCATAGCCCCCCCATAGACCCCTATAGACATAGCCGCCCCCATAGACACCCCATAGACCCCCATAGACCCCATAGACACCCCATAGACCCCCCATAGACCCCCATAGACACCCCATAGACCCCCCATAGAGCCCCATAGCCCCCCATAGCCCCCCATAGACCCCTTCAGGACCCCCAAGCCTCCCCCTTGGGTACCACTACCCAAAGGATGCTCAGGGACGAAGGATGCTGCTCTCCCCCTTAGGACCCCATAGACCCCTATAGACCCCCCATAGACACCCCATAGACCCCTATAGACACCCCATAGACCCCTTTAGACGCCCCATAGACCCCCATAGAGCCCCATAGCCCCCCATAGACCCCCATAGACCCCCCCCTTAGGACCCCCAAGCCCCTCCTTGGGTACCACTACCCAGAGGATGCTCAGGGACGAAGGATGCTGCTCCCCCACTTACGACCCCATAGAACCCCATAGACCCCCCATAGACCCCCATAGACCCCCATAGCCCCCCATAGACCCCCCATAGACCCCCACAGACCCCCATAGAGACCCCATAGCCCCCCATAGACCCCCATAGACCCCCCCCTTAGGACCCCCAAGCCCCTCCTTGGGTACCACTACCCAAAGGATGCTCAGGGATGAAGGATGCTGCTCCCCCAATTAGGACCCCATAGAACCCCATAGACCCCCATAGACCCCCATAGACCCCTATAGACCCCCATAGATGCCCCATAGCCCCCCATAGACCCCCACCTTAGGACCCCCAAGCCTCCCCCTTGGGTACCACTACCCAGAGGATGCTCAGGGATGAAGGATGCTGCTCCCCCCCTTAGGACCCCATAGAACCCCATAGACGCCCCATAGACCCCCATAGACCCCTATAGACACCCCATAGCCGCCCCATAGCCGCCCCATAGCGCCCCAAAAGTGGGGTCCCCCCCGCTTACTTGAGGGGGTACATGCGCAGAGCCACGTCCATGCCAGGGCAATAGGAGAGGAAGGCGGCCAATGCCGTCTCCTCAAAGAGCCCAAAAATGAGGATCTTATTCCTAAAAAAAAGGGGGGGGGGGGCACAAAGAGCATCACCCCCAAAAGCCACAGCCCCACAACCCACCCCGGCACCCCCCTGTGCCCCCCAATATCGAGAGACCCCCATAAAGCATCTCCAGGGATGCAGGATGCTGCGGCTTCTTTGGGTACCACCAGCAAAAGGATGCTCAGGGATGCAGGATGCTGCTGCTTCCTTGGGTACCACAAGCCCATAGGATGCTATGGGGCACAGGATGCTGCTCCCTCCTTGGGTACCACCACCCCATAGGATGCTATGGGGCACAGGATGCTGCTTCCTCCTTGGGTACCACAACCCCATAGGATGCTATGGGGCACAGGATGCTGCTTCCTCCTTGGGTACCACCACCCCATAGGATGCTATGGGACACGGGATGCTGCTCCCTCCTTGGGTACCACAACCCCATAGGATGCTATGGGGCACAGGATGCTGCTCCCTCCTTGGGTACCAGCACCCCATAGGATGCTATGGGGCGCAGGATGCTGCTCCTTCCTTGGGTACCACCACCCCATAGGATGCTATGGGGCACAGGATGCTGCTCCCCCCTTGGGTACCACCACCCCATAGGATGCTATGGGGCACGGGATGCTGCTGCTTCCTTGGGTACCACAACCCCATAGGATGCTATGGGGCACAGGATGCTGCTCCTTCCTTGGGTACCACAACCCCATAGGATGCTATGGGGCACAGGATGCTGCTCCCTCCTTGGGTACCACAACCCATAGGATGCTATGGGGCGCAGGATGCTGCTCCTTCCTTGGGTACCACAACCGCATAGGATGCTATGGGGCACAGGATGCTGCTCCTTCCTTGGGTACCACCACCCTATAGGATGCTATGGGGCACAGGATGCTGCTCCCTCCTTGGGTACCACCACCCCATAGGATGCTATGGGGCACAGGATGCTGCTACCTCCTTGGGTACCATCACCCCATAGGATGCTATGGGGCACAGGATGCTGCTCCCTCCTTGGGTACCACCACCCCATAGGATGCTATGGGGCACAGGATGCTGCTCCCTCCTTGGGTACAAGCACCCCATAGGATGCTATGGGGCACAGGATGCTGCTCCCCCTTTGGGTACCACAACCCATAGGATGCTATGGGGCACAGGATGCTGCTCTTTCCTTGGGTACCACCACCCCATAGGATGCTATGGGGCACAGGATGCTGCTTCCTTGGGTACCACAACCCCATAGGATGCTATGGGGCACAGGACGCTGCTGCTTCCTTGGGTACCAGCACCCCATAGGATGCTCAGGGATGCAGGATGCTGCTCCCTCCTTGGGTACCACCACCCCACCGATGCTCAGGGATGCAGGATGCTGCTTCCCCCTTGGGTACCACCACCAAAAGGATGCTCAGGGATGCAGGATGCTGCTCCCTCCTTGGGTACCACAACCCCATAGGATGCTCAGGGATGCAGGATGCTGCTCCCTCCTTGGGTACCACAACCCCATAGGATGCTCAGGGATGCAGGATGCTGCTTCCTCCTTGGGTACCACCACCCCATAGGATGCTATGGGATGCAGGATGCTGCTTCCCCCTTGGGTACCGCTACCCCACCGATGCTCAGGGATGCAGGATGCTGCTTCCCCCTTGGGTACCACCACCAAAAGGATGCTCAGGGATGCAGGATGCTGCTCCCTCCTTGGGTACCACCACCAAAAGGATGCTCAGGGATGCAGGATGCTATTTCCCTCGGGTTTTTTACCTCCCCCCCCTAACTTTTTGGGGTCCCCTTGAATTTTGGGGGGTTCCCCTTGAATTTTGGGGGGTTCCCGTCCCTCCCCCTTACTTCATGCCCTGCTGGAAGACGGAGTTGCGCCGGGTCTTGCAGATGATGAGGTCTGCCCATTGCACCACCACGATGCTGACGAAGAAAGCCGTGTGGCACGTGAACTCCACCACCTTCCGCTGCTCATAGGTCTGTGGTTGGGGGGGGGACACCCCGGAAATGACGTCAGAAGCACCCCAAAAACACCCCCCCCACACCCACCTATAGGGTGTCCCTCTATTGGGGTGTATAGGGGAAGGGTTGGGTTGATATAGGGGGGGGATTAGGGGGTAGAGAGCAGTATTAGGGGTGAAGGGACACCCCCCCATTATGGGTATTGGGGTGCTGGGATGCACTGCTGCAATGGGGTGCTATGGGGTGCAATGGGGTGCTATGGGGTAATAGGGGTGCTATGGGGTGCAATGGGGTGCTATGGAATGCTATAGGGTAATAGGGGTTCTATGGGGTGCTATGGGGTGCAATGGTGTAATAGGGGTGCTATGGGGGGCAATGGGGTGCTATGGAATGCTATAGGGCAATAGGGGTGCTATGGAAGGCAATGGGGTGCTATGGGGTGCAATGGGGTGCTATAGGGTGCAATGGGGTGCTCTGGAATGCTATAGGGTAATAGGGGTGCTATGGGGTGCAATGGGGTGCTGTGGAATGCTAGAGGGCAATAGGGGTGCTATGGAGGGCAATAGGGTGCTATGGGGGGCAATGGGGTGCTATGGGGTGCAATGGGTTAATAGGGGTGCTATGGGGTGCTATGGGGTGCTATGGAATGCTATAGGGCAATAGGGTTTTATGGAGGGCAATAGGGTGCTATGGGGTGCAATGGGGTGCTGTGGAATGCTATAGGGCAATAGGGGTGCTATGGGGTGCAATGGGGTGCTATGGAATGCTAGAGGGCAATAGGGGTGCTATGGAAGGCAATGGGGTGCTATGGAATGCTATAGGGCAATAGGGTGCTATGGGGTGCAATGGGGTGCTATGGAATGCTATAGGGCAATAGGGGGTGCTATGGAGGGCAATGGGGTGCTATGGGGTGCAGTGGGGTGCTATGGAATGCTATAGGGCAATAGGGGTGTTATGGGGTGCAATGGGGTGCTATGGAATGCTATAGGGCAATAGGGGTGCTATGGGGTGCAATGGGGTGCTATGGAATGCTATAGGGCAATAGGGGTGCTATGGGGTGCAATGGGGTGCTCTGGAATGCTATAGGGGTGCTATGGGTGCAATAGGGTGCTATGGGGTGCAATGGGGTAATAGGGATGCTATGGGGTGCAATGGGGTGCTGTGGAATGCAATAGGGCAATAGGGGTGCTATGGGGTGCAATGGGGTGCTATGGAATGCTATAGAGCAATAGGGGTGCTATGGGGTGCTGTGGAATGCTATAGGGCAATAGGGGTGCTATGGAGGGCAATGGGGTGCTATGGAATGCTATAGGGCAATAGGGTGCTATGGGGTGCAATGGGGTGCTATGGAATGCTATAGGGCAATAGGGGGTGCTATGGAGGGCAATGGGGTGCTATGGGGTGCAGTGGGGTGCTATGGAATGCTATAGGGCAATAGGGGTGTTATGGGGTGCAATGGGGTGCTATGGAATGCTATAGGGCAATAGGGGTGCTATGGGGTGCAATGGGGTGCTATGGAATGCTATAGGGCAATAGGGGTGCTATGGGGTGCAATGGGGTGCTCTGGAATGCTATAGGGGTGCTATGGGTGCAATAGGGTGCTATGGGGTGCAATGGGGTAATAGGGATGCTATGGGGTGCAATGGGGTGCTGTGGAATGCAATAGGGCAATAGGGGTGCTATGGGGTGCAATGGGGTGCTATGGAATGCTATAGAGCAATAGGGGTGCTATGGGGTGCTGTGGAATGCTATAGGGCAATAGGGGTGCTATGGAGGGCAATGGGGTGCTATGGGGTGCAATGGGGTGCTATGGTATGCTCTAGGGCAATAGGGTGCTATAGGGGGCAATGGGGCGCTATAGGGTTCTATGGGGTGCTATGGGGTGCTATGAGGTTGCTATGGAGATACAGTGGGGTGTTATGGGGTGCTGAGCCCTCCCTGACTGCCCCACAGCTACAATATGGATTCTATGGGGTGCTATAGGGGGCAAAGGGGGTGCTATGGGGTATTATAGGGGTCTGTGGGGCGCTCAGCCCCTCAGACTGAGCCCCTGCCTCAATGGGGATGCTATGGGGCGCAATGGAGGGCAATGGGACGCAATGGGGCACAATGGAACGCTATCGGGTGCAATGGGTGCTATGGGGATGCTATAGGGCGCTATGGGGCGCAATGGGGCACTATTGAAGGCTATGGGGCGCTGTGGTGACACTATGGGGTGCTCTACGGTAAATAGGGCTCTATGGGGCGCTCTAATAGGGCGCGCTATGGGGCGAGCTATGGGGCACTGGTGACACTATGGGGTGCTCTACGTGCTATAGGGCACTATTGAACGCTATGGGGCGCTGTGGTGACACTATGGGGTGCTCTGTGCTATAGGGCACTATTGAACGCTATGGGGCGCTGTGGTGACACTATGGGGTGCTCTACGTGCTATAGGGCACTATTGAACGCTATGGGGCGCTGTGGAGACACTATGGGGTGCTCTATGGGGAATAGGGTTCTATGGGGTGCTGTAATAGGGCGTGCTATGGGGCGCGCTATGGGGCACTGGTGACACTATGGGGTGCTCTATGTGCTATAGGGCGCTATGGGGTGCAATGGAGGGCAATGGGGCACTATTGAATGCTATGGGGCACTGGTGACACTATGGGGTGCTCTACGTGCTATAGGGCACTATTGAACGCTATGGGGCACTATGGTGACGCTATGGGGTGCGCTGTGCTATAGGGCACTATTGAACGCTATGGGGCGCTGTGGTGACACTATGGGGTGCTCTACGGTAAATAGGGCTCTATGGGGCGCTCTAATAGGGTGCGCTATGGGGCACGCTATGGGGCACTGGTGACACTATGGGGTGCTCCGTGCTATAGGGCACTATTGAACGCTATGGGGCGCTGTGGTGACACTATGGGGTGCTCTACGGTAAATAGGGTTCTATGGGGTGCTCTAATAGGGCGCGCTATGGGGCGCGCTATGGGGCACTGTGGGGACACTATGGGGTGCTCAATGTGCTATAGGGCACTATGGGGTGCAATGGAGGGCAATGGGGCACTATTGAACGCTATGGGGCACTGTGGTGACACTATGGGGTCCTCTACGTGCTATAGGGCACTATTGAACGCTATGGGGCACTGTGGTGACACTATGGGGTGCTCTATGGGGAATAGGGCTCTATGGGGCTCTCTAATAGGGCGCGATATGGGGCGCGCTATGGGGCACTGGTGACACTATGGGGTGCTCTATGTGCTATGGGGCACTACTGGGCGCAATGGAGGGCAATGGGGCACTATTGAATGCTATGGGGCACTGGTGACACTATGGGGTGCTCTACGTGCTATAGGGCACTATTGAACGATATGGGGCGCTGTGGTGACACTATGGGGTGGGCTGTGCTATAGGGCACTATTGAACGCTATGGGGCGCTGTGGTGACACTATGGGGTGCTCTATGGGGAATAGGGCTCTATGGGGCGCTCTAAAGGGGCACACTATGGGGCGCGCTATAGGGCACTGTGGGGACACTATGGGGTGCTCAATGTGCTATAGGGCACTACGGGGCACAATGGAGGGCAATGGGGCACTATTGAACGCTATGGGGCACTGGTGACACTATGGGGTGCTCTGTGCTGTAGGGCGCTATGGGGTGCAATGGAGGGCAATGGGGCACCATGGAACGCTATGGGGCGCTGTGGTGACACTATGGGGTGCTCCGTGCTATAGGGCACTATTGAACGCTATGGGGCGCTGTGGTGACACTATGGGGTGGGCTGTGCTATAGGGCACTATTGAACGCTATGGGGCGCTGTGGTGACACTATGGGGTGCTCTGTGCTATAGGGCACTATTGAACGCTATGGGGCGCTGTGGTGACACTATGGGGTGCTCTATGGGGAATAGGGCTCTATGGGGTACTCTAATGGGGCACACTATGGGGCGCGCTATAGGGCACTGTGGGGACACTATGGGGTGCTCTATGTGCTATAGGGCACTACAGGGCTCAATGGAGGGCAATGGGGCACTATTGAACGCTATGGGGCACTGGTGACACTATGGGGTGCTCTACGGTAAATAGGGCTCTATGGGGCGCTCTAATAGGGCACGCTATGGGGCGCGCTATGGGGCACTGGTGACACTATGGGGTGCTCCGTGCTATAGGGCACTATTGAACGCTATGGGGCGCTGTGGTGACACTATGGGGTGCTCTGTGCTATAGGGTGCTATGGGGTGCAATGGAGGGCAATGGGGCACTATTGAACGCTATGGGGCACTATGGTGACGCTATGGGGTGTGCTGTGCTATAGGGCACTATTGAACGCTATGGGGCGCTGTGGTGACACTATGGGGTGCTCTACGGTAAATAGGGCTCTATGGGGCGCTCTAATAGGGCGCGCTATGGGGCACGCTATGGGGCACTGGTGACACTATGGGGTGCTCTATGTGCTATAGGGCGCTATGGTGTGCAATGAAGGGCAATGGGGCACCATTGAACGCTATGGGGCGCTGTGGTGACGCTATGGGGTGCTCTGTGCTATAGGGCACTATTGAAAGCTATGGGGCGCTGTGGTGACACTATGGGGTGCTCTGTGCTATAGGGCACTATTGAAAGCTATGGGGCGCTGTGGAGACACTATGGGGTGCTCTATGGGGAATAGGGCTCTATGGGGCGCTCTAAAGGGGCACGCTATGGGGCGCGCTATGGGGCACTGTGGGGATACTATGGGGTGCTCAATGTGCTATAGGGCACTACAGGGCACAATGGAGGGCAATGGGGCACTATTGAGCGCTATGGGGCACTGGTGACACTATGGGGTGCTCTGTGCTATAGGGCGCTATGGGGTGCAATGGAGGGCAATGGGGCACCATTGAACGCTATGGGGCGCTGTGGTGACACTATGGGGTGCTCTGTGCTATAGGGCACTATTGAACGCTATGGGGCACTATGGTGACGCTATGGGGTGCTCTGTGCTATAGGGCACTATTGCTGACTATGGGGTGCTATGGGGTGCTCTGTATGCTATACTGGTGACACTATGGGGTGCTCTATGTGCTATAGGGTGCTATGGGGTGCAATGGAGGGCAATGGGGCACTATTGAACGCTATGGGGCACTGCAGTGACACTCTGGAGCGCTCTATGGGGAATAGGGCTCTATGGGGCGCTCTAAAGGGGCACGCTATGGGGCGCGCTATGGGGCACTGGTGACACTATGGGGTGCTCTATGCGCTATGGGGCACTATGGGGTGCAATGGAGGGCAATGGGGCACTATCGAATGCTATGGGGCACTGGTGACACTATGGGGTGCTCTATGTGCTATAGGGCACTATGGGGTGCAATGGAGGGCAATGGGGCACCATTGAACGCTATGGGGCGCTGTGGTGACGCTATGGGGTGCTCTGTGCTAAGGGCACTATTGAACGCTATGGGGCGCTGTGGTGACACTATGGGGTGCTCTATGGGGAATAGGGCACTCTGGGCGCGATATGGGGCGCGCTATGGGGCACTGGTGACACTATGGGGTGCTCTATGTGCTATAGGGCACTATGGGGTGCAATGGAGGGCAATGGGGCACTATTGAACGCTATGGGGCACTGGTGACACTATGGGGTGCTCCGTGCTATAGGGCACTGTTGAACGCTATGGGGCGCTGTGGTGACGCTATGGGGTGCTCTATGTGCTATAGGGCACTATTGAACGCTATGGGGCGCTGTGGTGACACTCCAGAGCTCTCTAGGCTGAATAGTGCTCTATGGGGCGCCCTAATGGGGCTCGCTATGGGGCGCGCTATGGGGCGCTGTGGTGACACTATGGGGCGCTCTACGTGCTATAGGGCGCTATGGGGCTCAATGCAGGGCAATGGGGCGCTGTGGTGACACTCCGGAGAGCTCTACGGTGAATAGTGCTCTATGGGGCGCTCTGATCGGGCTCGCTATGGGGCGCGCTATGGGGCGCTGTGGTGACACTATGGGGTGCTCTACGTGCTATAGGGCACTACAGGGCTCAATGGAGGGCAATGGGGCACTGTGGTGACACTATGGAACGCTCTACACTGAATAGTGCTCTATGGGGCGCTCTAATGGGGCTCGCTATGGGGCGCGCTATGGGGCGCTGTGGCGACACTATGGGGTGCTCTGTGTGCTATAGGGCACTATGGAGCGCAATGGAGGGCAATGGGGCACTGTGGTGACACTATGGAACGCTCTACAGTGAATAGTGCTCTAATGGGGCTCGCTAGGGCGCGCTAATGGGGCGCTCTACGTGCTATAGGGCACTACGGAGCGCAATGGAGGGCAATGGGGCACTGTGGTGACACTATGGGGTGCTCTACGGTGAATAGTGCTCTATGGGGCGCTCTAATAGGGTGCGCTATGGGGCGCGCTATGGGGCACTGGTGACACTATGGGGTGCTCTATGTGCTATGGGGCACTATGGGGTGCAATGGAGGGCAATGGGGCACCATTGAACGCTATGGGGCGCTGTGGTGACACTATGGGGTGCTCTGTGCTATAGGGCACTATTGAACGCTATGGGGCGCTGTGGTGACACTATGGGGTGCTCTATGGGGAATAGGGCTCTATGGGGTGCTGTAATAGGGCACGCTATGGGGCGCGCTATGGGGCACTGGTGACACTATGGGGTGCTCTATGTGCTATAGGGTGCTATGGGGCTCAATGGAGGGCAATGGGGCACTGCGGTGACACTGTGGAACGCTCTACGGTGAATAGCGCTCAATGGGGGGCTATAATAGCATGCGCTATGGGGCACGCTATGGGGCGCTATGGGGCACTGGTGACACTATGGGGCGCTCTACGTGCTATGGGGCACTACAGGGAGCAATGGAGGGCAATGGGGCACTGTGGTGACACTATGGAACGCTCTACAGTGAATAGTGCTCTATGGGGCGCTCTAATGGGGCTCGCTATGGGGCGCGCTATGGGGCGCTGTGGTGACACTATGGGGCGCTCTACGTGCTATAGGGCACTACGGGGCTCAATGGAGGGCAATGGGGCACTGTGGTGACACTATGGAGTGCTCTACACTGAATAGCGCTCTATGGGGCGCTCTGATCGGGCTCGCTATGGGGCGCGCTATGGGGCGCTGTGGCGACACTATGGGGTGCTCTATGTGCTATAGGGCACTATGGAGCGCAATGGAGGGCAATGGGGCACTGTGGTGACACTATGGAACGCTCTACAGTGAATAGTGCTCTATGGGGCGCTCCAATGGGGCTCGCTATGGGGCGCTGTGGCGACACTATGGGGTGCTCTGTGCTATAGGGCACTATTGAACGCTATGGGGCACTGGTGACACTATGGGGTGCTCTATGGGGAATAGGGCTCTATGGGGCGCTCTAAAGGGGCGCGCTATAGGGCACTGTGGGGACACTATGGGGTGCTCAATGTGCTATAGGGCACTATGGGGTGCAATGGAGGGCAATGGGGCACTATTGAACGCTATGGGGCGCTGTGGAGACATTATGGGGTGCTCTACGGTAAATAGGGCTCTATGGGGCGCTCTAATAGGGCGCGCTATGGGGCGTGCTATGGGGCACTGTGGGGACACTATGGGGTGCTCAATGTGCTATAGGGCACTATGGGGTGCAATGGAGGGCAATGGGGCACTATTGAACGCTATGGGGCACTGGTGACACTATGGGGTGCTCTGTGCTATAGGGCACTATCGAACGCTATGGGGCGCTGTGGTGACACTATGGGGTGCTCTGTGCTATAGGGCACTGTTGAAAGCTATGGGGCGCTGTGGTGACACTATGGGGTGCTCTATGGGGAATAGGGCTCTATGGGGTACTCTAATAGGGCGCGCTATGGGGCACGCTATGGGGCACTGGTGACACTATGGGGCGCTCTACGTGCTATAGGGCACTATGGGGTGCAATGGAGGGCAATGGGGCACTGTGGTGACACTCCGGAGCGCTCTACGGTGAATAGGGCTCTATGGGGCGCTCTAATAAGGCATTCTATGGGGCTCTATGGGGCGCTATGGGGCACTATGGGGCGCTCTACGTGCTATAGGGCACTACAGGGCTCAATGGAGGGCAATGGGGCACTGTGGTGACACTGTGGAACGCTCTACACTGAATAGTGCTCTATGGGGCGCTCTGATCGGGCTCGCTATGGGGCACGCTATGGGGCATCGGTGACACTATGGGGCGCTCTACGTGCTATAGGGCACTACGGAGCGCAATGGAGGGCAATGGGGCACTGTGGCGACACTATGGAACGCTCTACAGAGAATAGTGCTCTATGGGGCGCTCAGATCGGGCTCGCTATGGGGCACGCTATGGGGCACTGGTGACGCTATGGGGCGCTCTACGTGCTATAGGGCACTACAGGGCTCAATGGAGGGCAATGGGGCGCTGTGGTGACACTCCGGAGCGCTCTACGGTGAATAGGGCTCTATGGGGCGCTCTAATAAGGCATTCTATGGGGCTCTATGGGGCGCTATGGGGCGCTATGGGGCACTATGGGGCGCTCTACGTGCTATAGGGCACTACGGAGCGCAATGGAGGGCAATGGGGCACTGTGGTGACACTATGGAACGCTCTACGCTGAATAGTGCTCTATGGGGCGCTCTGATTTGGCTCGCTATGGGGCACGCTATGGGGCACTGGTGACACTATGGGGCGCTCTACATGCTATAGGGCGCTATGGGGCACTATTGAACGCTATGGGGCACTGTGGTGACACTATGGAACGCTCTATGCTGAATAGTGCTCTATGGGGCACTCTGATCGGGCTCGCTATGGGGCGCTATGGGGCACTGGTGACACTATGGGGCGCTCTATGTGCTATAGGGCACTATGGGGCACTATTGAACGCTATGGGGCACTGCGGTGACACTCCGGAGCGCTCTATGCTGAATAGTGCTCTATGGGGCGCTCTGATCGGGCTCGCTATGGGGCGCGCTATGGGGCACTGGTGACACTATGGGGCGCTCTACATGCTATAGGGCACTACGGAGCGCAATGGAGCGCAATGGGGCACTGTGGTGACACTATGGAGTGCTCTACGGTGAATAGTGCTCTATGGGGCGCTCTAATGGGGCTCGCTATGGGGCGCGCTATGGGGCGCTGTGGTGACACTATGGGGCGCTCTACATGCTATAGGGCACTACGGAGTGCAATGGAGCGCAATGGGGCACTGTGGTGACACTCCGGAGCGCTCTATGGTGAATAGGGCTCTATGGGGCGCTCTAATAAGGCATGCTATGGGGCGCTATGGGGCGCTATGGGGCACTATGGGGCGCTCTACGTGCTATAGGGCACTATGGAGCGCAATGGAGGGCAATGGGGCGCTGTGGTGACACTATGGAGTGCTCTACGTTGAATAGCGCTCAATGGTGGGCTATAACAGCGTGCGCTATGGGGCGCGCTATGGGGCGCGCTATGGGGCACTGGTGACACTATGGGGCCCTCTACGTACTATAGGGCACTACGGAGCGCAATGGGGCACTGTGGTGACACTCCGGAGCGCTCTACGCTAATTAGCGCTCAATGGGGGGCTATAACAGCGTGCGCTATGGGGCGCGCTATGGGGCGCGCTATGGGGCACTGGTGACACTATGGGGCGCTCTACGCGCTATAGGGCACTACGGAGCGCATTGGGGCACTGTGGTGACACTATGGAGTGCTCTACGTTGAATAGCTCTCAATGGGGGGCTATAACAGCGTGCGCTATGGGGCGCGCTATGGGGCGCGCTATGGGGCACTGACCCACTGCTGCCCATAGGAGTCCTCCAGGTCGTTGACGGTGCGGTCGTCCCAACGCAAGCGGATCCCGACGAGGCGGGAGGGAAGGAACCCGTTTTCCGCCAGGATCACGAAGTAGGCGAAGAACCCCCCAAGTGCCTGGATCATCCCTAGGGAATGTGGGGCGGAAAAGTGGGGCTGAACCCCCATATCGCGGCCCTGAACCCCCATATCGCGGCCCTGAACCCCCATATCGCGGCTCTGAACCCCCATATCGCACCCCTGAACCCCCATATCGCGGCTCTGAACCCCCATATCGCGGCTCTGAACCCCCATATCGCACCCCTGAACCCCCATATCGCGGCTCTGAACCCCCATATCGCACCCCTGAACCCCCATATCGCGGCCCTGAACCCCCATATCGCGGCTCTGAACCCCCATATCGCGGCCCTGAACCCCCATATCGCGGCTCTGAACCCCCATATCGCGGCCCTGAACCCCCATATCGCGGCTCTGAACCCCCATATCGCGGCTCTGAACCCCCATATCGCGGCCCTGAACCCCCATATCGCGGCTCTGAACCCCATATCGCGGCTCTGAACCCCCATATCGCGGCTCTGAACCCCCATATCGCGGCTCTGAACCCCCATATCGCGGCTCTGAACCCCCATATCGCGGCTCTGAACCCCCATATCGCGGCCCTGAACCCCCATATCGCGGCCCTGAACCCCCATATCGCGGCTCTGAACCCCCATATCGCGGCTCTGAACCCCCATATCGCGGCTCTGAACCCCCATATCGCGGCCCTGAACCCCCATATCGCACCCCTGAACCCCCATATCGCGGCCCTGAACCCCCATATCGCGGCCCTGAACCCCCATATCGCGGCTCTGAACCCCCATATCGCGCGGCTCTGAACCCCCATATCGCGGCTCTGAACCCCCATATCGCGGCCCTGAACCCCCATATCGCGGCTCTGAACCCCCATATCGCGGCCCTGAACCCCCATATCGCTCCCCTGAACCCCCATATCGCACCCCTGAACCCCCATATCGCGGCTCTGAACCCCCATATCGCGGCCCTGAACCCCCATATCGCGGCCCTGAACCCCCATATCGCGGCCCTGAACCCCCATATCGCGGCCCTGAACCCCCATATCGCGGCTCTGAACCCCCATATCGCGGCTCTGAACCCCCATATCGCGGCTCTGAACCCCCATATCGCGGCTCTGAACCCCCATATCGCGGCCCTGAACCCCCATATCGCGGCTCTGAACCCCCATATCGCACCCCTGAACCCCCATATCGCGGGCCTGAACCCCCATATCGCGGCCCTGAACCCCCATATCGCGGCTCTGAACCCCCATATCGCGGGTCTGAACCCCCATATCGCGGCCCTGAACCCCCATATCGCGGGTCTGAACCCCAATATCGCACCCCTGAACCCCCATATCGCGGCTCTGAACCCCAATATCGTGGCCCTGAACCCCCATATCGCGGCTCTGAACCCCAATATCGTGGCCCTGAACCCCCATATCGAACACCTCAAGCCCTATATCGCACCCCTGAACCCCCATATCGCGCCCCTGAACCCCATATCGCCTCCTATATCCTGATATTGCCTCCTATATCCCGATATCTCACTTCCCCCCACCCATATCGCCCCCTTTCTCCCCCATATTGCTTCCTATATCCCGATATCTCACTTCCCCCTCCCCATATCGCACCCTTTCTCCCCCATATCGCCCCCTATATCCCGATATCTCACCTATCCCCTCCCCCCTATATCCCGATATCGCACTTCCTTTCCCCCCATATCGCCCCCTTTCTCCCCCATATCGCCTCCTATATCCCGATATCTCACTTCCCCCTCCGCATATAGCACCCATATCGCCCCCTTTCTCCCCCATATCGCCCCCTATATCCCGATATCTCACTTCCCCCTCCCCATATCGCCCCCTTTCTCCCCCATATCGCCTCCTATATCCCGATATCTCACTTCCCCTCCCCATATCGCACCCTTTCTCCCCCATATCGCCTCCTATCGCTCACTATATACCGATATCTCACTTCCCCCTCCCCTCCCCCCTATATCCCGATCTCACTTCCCCCTCCCCATTCTCCCCATATCGCCCCCTTTCTCCCCCATATCGCCCCCATATCGCCCCCTATATCCCGATATCTCACTTCCTCCCCCTTTCCCCCCATATCGCACCCTTTTCTCCCCCATATCGCCCCCCCCCTCCCCATATTCACCCTTTCTCCCCATATATCCCCCCCATATCGCCTCCTATATATCTCACTTCCCCCTCCCCCCATATCGCCTCCTATATCCCGATATCTCACCTTCCCCTCCCCATATCGCGCCCTTTCTCCCCCATATCGCCCCCTATATCCCGATATCTCACTTCCCCCTCCCCATATCGCCCCTTTCTCCCCCATATCGCCCCCTATATCCCGATATCTCACTTCCCCCTCCCCATATCGCACCCTTTCTCCCCCATATCGCCCCCTTTCTCCCCCATATCGCCTCCTATATCCCGATATCTCACTTCCCCTCCCCATATCGATATCTCACTTCCCCTCCCCATATCGCACCCTTTCTCCCCCATATCGCTCCCTATATCCCGATATCTCACTTCCCCCTCCCCATATCGCACCCTTTCTCCCCCATATCGCCCCCTATATCCCGATATCTCACCTCCCCCTCCCCATATCGCCCCCTTTCTCCCCCATATCGCACCCTTTCTCCCCCATATCGCCCCCTATACCGCGACATCTCGCCCCCCCACTCCCCCGCGGCCCCTCCCACTATCGCGATAGCTCACCGATCTGCCCGTAGGCCATGCTAATGAGCCGTTCATTCACCAGCTTGTCCGAGCGGGGGTTCCGGGGCTGCCGCTTCATGATATCGCTTTCGGCTGCCTCATAGGCCAATGAGATAGCAGGGACCTGGTGGGGGGGGGGACGGGACACAATGTGGGGGGCACCCCACATGGGCACCCCTTAGGGGGGTCCCCAAGGTTTGGGGGTGCTCCTAAAAGGGGTTCCCCCCCCCTTTATGTGGGTCGTGGTATCCCCATAGCATCCCATGGTACCCCACTGCATCCCATTCGCACCCTATTGCCCTCCATAGCACCCCATATTGCCCTATAGCATCGCTCATAGGGGGATCTTGGGGGTCCCCAAAGCTTTGGGGGTGCTCCTAAAAGGGGTTCCCCCCCTTTATGTGGGTCGTGGTGTCCCCATAGCATCCCATGGTACCCCACTGCATCCCATTTGCACCCTATAGCCTTCCATAGCATCCCTATAGGGAGGTTCTTGGGGGTCCCACCATGGGACCTGGGCCCCATAGGGAGGACTTTTGGGGTCCCCAAAGCTTTGGGGGTGCTCCTAAAAGGGGTTCCCCCCTTTATGTGGGTCGTGGTGTCCCCATAGCATCCCCATAGCATCCCATGGTACCCCACTGCATCCCATTTGCACCCTATTGCCCTCCATAGCACCCCATATTGCCCTATAGCATCACTCATAGGGGGATCTTGGGGGTCCCCAAAGCTTTGGGGGTGCTCCTAAAAGGGTTTCCCCCCTTTATGTGGGTCGTGGTGTCCCCATAGCATCCCATGGTACCCCACTGCATCCCATTTGCACCCCATAGCCTTCCATAGCATCCCTATAGGGAGGTTCTTGGGGGTCCCACCATGGGGGATTGGGAGGTTCTGGGCCCCATAGGGAGGAACTTTGGGGTCCCCAAAGCTTTGGGGGTGCTCCTAAAAGGGGTTCCCCCCTTTATGTGGGTCGTGGTATCCCCATAGCATCCCATGGTACCCCACTGCACCCCATTTGCACCCTATAGCCTTCCATAGCATCCCTATAGGGAGGTTCTTGGGGGTCCCACCATGGGGGATTGGGAGTTTCTGGGCCCCATAGGGAGGAACTTTGGGGTCCCCAAAGCTTTGGGGGTGCTCCTAAGAGGGGGTCCCCCCCTTTATGTGGGTCGTGGTGTCCCCATAGCATCCCCATTGCATCCCATGGCACCCCACTGCACCCCATTTGCACCCTATAGCCTTCCATAGCATCCCTATAGGGAGGTTCTTGGGGGTCCCACCATGGGTGATTTGGGAGTTTCTGAGCCCCATAGGGAGGACTTTTGGGGTCCCCAAATCTTTGGGGGTGCTCCTAAAAGGGTTTCCCCCCTTTATGTGGGTCGTGGTGTCCCCATAGCATCCCATGGTACCCCACTGCATCCCATTTGCACCCTATTGCCCTCCATAGCACCCCATATTGCCCTATAGCATCGCTCATAGGGGGATCTTGGGGGTCCCCAAAGCTTTGGGGGTGCTCCTAAAAGGGGTTCCCCCCTTTATGTGGGTCCTGGTATCCCCATAGCATCCCATGGTACCCCACTGCATCCCATTTGCACCCTATAGCCTTCCATAGCATCCCTATAGGGAGGTTCTTGGGGGTCCCACCATGGGACCTGGGCCCCATAGGGAGGACTTTTGGGGTTCCCCAAATCTTTGGGGGTGCTCCTAAAAGTGGGGTTCCCCCCCCCAACCTCACCATGTCAGTGCCCAGGTCGATGCAGAGGATGGTGATGGTCCCTAGGGGCAGAGGGATGTTGGCCATGATGAAGAGGAGGAAAGGGGTGATCTCGGGGATGTTGCTGGTCAACGTGTAGGCAATGGACTTCTTGAGGTTGTCAAAGATCAGGCGGCCTGAAGACACGGGGATGGTCACCATTGGGGTGCATGTATCCATCCCCCCCCTTCATTTTTGCTCCCCTTCTCCCCATAGCGATGCCGCTATGGGTCCCGCACCGACCTTCCTCCACGCCGGTGACGATGGAGGCGAAGTTGTCGTCCAAGAGGATCATGTCGGCCGCTTGCTTGGAGACGTCGGAGCCGGCGATGCCCATGGCCACGCCGATGTCGGCCTTCTTCAACGCCGGCGAGTCGTTGACGCCGTCGCCCGTCACCGCCACGATGGCGCCCTAGGGGATGGGGATGTGGGGTTAGGGGGGGGTGATGGGGATGTGGGGAGCATCCTCATCGTGGTGGCACCTTGGGTACCATCTCCATGGTGATGGGGAGCATCCTCATCGTGGTGGCACCTTGGGTACCGTCTCCATGGTGATGGGGAGCATCCCCATCGTGGTGGCACCTTGGGTACCATCTCCATGGTGATGGGGATGTGGGGAGCATCCTCATCGTGGTGGCACCTTGGGTACCATCTCCATCTCCATGGTGATGCGGAGCATCCTCATCGTGGTGACACCTTGGGTACCATCTCCATGGTGATGGGGATGTGGGGAGCATCCTCATTGTGGTGGCACCTTGGGTACCATCTCCATCCCTATGGTGATGGGGAGCATCCTCATCATGGTGGCACCTTGGGTACCATCCCCATGGTGATGGGGAGCATCCTCATCGTGGTGGCACCTTGGGTACCGTCTCCATGGTGATGGGGATGTGGGGAGCATCCTCATCGTGGTGGCACCTTGGGTACCATCTCCATGGTGATGGGGATGTGGGGAGCATCCTCATCGTGGTGGCACCTTGGGTACCATCTCCATGGTGATGGGGATGTGGGGAGCATCCTCATCGTGGTGGCACCTTGGGTACCGTCTCCATGGTGATGGGGATGTGGGGAGCATCCTCATTGTGGTGGCACCTTGGGTACCATCTCCATGGTGATGGGGAGCATCCTCATCATGGTGGCACCTTGGGTACCATCTCCATGGTGATGGGGATGTGGGGAGCATCCTCATCGTGGTGGCACCTTTGGTACCATCTCCATGGTGATGGGGAGCATCCTCATCGTGGTGGCACCTTGGGTACCATCTCCATGGTGATGGGGAGCATCCTCATCGTGGTGGCACCTTGGGTACCATCTCCATGGTGATGGGGAGCATCCACATCATGGTGGCACCTTGGGTACCATCTCCATGGTGATGGGGATGTGGGGAGCATCCTCATCGTGGTGGCACCTTGGGTACCATCTCCATGGTGATGGGGATGTGAGGAGCATCCTCATCGTGGTGGCACCTTGGGTACCATCTCCATGGTGATGGGGATGTGGGGAGCATCCTCATCGTGGTGGCACCTTGGGTACCATCTCCATGGTGATGGGGATGTGGGGAGCATCCTCATCGTGGTGGCACCTTGGGTACCATCTCCATGGTGATGGGGAGCATCCTCATCGTGGTGGCACCTTGGGTACCATCTCCATGGTGATGGGGATGTGGGGAGCAGCCTCATCGTGGTGGCACCTTGGGTACCATCTCCATGGTGATGGGGATGTGGGGAGCATCCTCATCGTGGTGGCACCTTGGGTACCATCTCCATGGTGATGGGGAGCATCCTCATCGTGGTGGCACCTTGGGTACCATCTCCATCTCCATGGTGATGGGGAGCATCCTCATCGTGGTGGCACCTTGGGTACCATCTCCATGGTGATGGGGATGTGGGGAGCATCCTCATCGTGGTGGCACCTTGGGTACCATCTCCATCTCCATGGTGATGGGGAGCATCCTCATCGTGGTGGCACCTTGGGTACCATCTCCATGGTGATGGGGATGTGGGGAGCATCCTCATCATGGTGGCACCTTGGGTACCGTCTCCATGGCGATGGGGATGTGGGGAGCATCCTCATCGTGGTGGCACCTTGGGTACCATCTCCATCTCCATGGTGATGGGGAGCATCCTCATCGTGGTGACACCTTGGGTACCATCTCCATGGTGATGGGGATGTGGGGAGCATCCTCATCATGGTGGCACCTTGGGTACCGTCTCCATGGCGATGGGGAGCATCCTCATCGTGGTGGCACCTTGGGTACCATCTCCATGGTGATGGGGATGTGGAGAGCATCCTCATCGTGGTGGCATCTTGGGTACCATCTCCATGGTGATGGGGAGCATCCTCATCATGGTGACACCTTGGGTACTGTCTCCATGGTGATGGGGATGTGGGGAGCATCCTCATCGTGGTGGCACCTTGGGTACCATCTCCGTCTCCATGGTGATTGGGACATGGGGACCATGTGGGGTGGTTTTGGGGTGGTTTTGGGGTGGATTTGGGGTTTTTGGGGGGCTGTATTTGGTGTTGTCTGTTGCCCCTGGAGATGCTCTTTGGGCTGGTTTTGATGGAGGGTACTTTGGGGTGGTTTTGGGTGGTTTTGGGGTGGTTTTGGGGTTTTGGGGTGGTTTTGGGGTGGTTTAAGTGGTTTTGGGTGGTTTTGGGGTGCTTTAAGTGTTTTTTCGGGTGGTTTTAGGTGTTTTTTGGGTGGTTTTGGGTCATATTTGCACATCTCTACGGCCTCCGGAGACGCTGCTTGGGCTGGATTTGATGGGGGTTCCTGGGGGGCTTTGGGGTGATTTTGGGGTGGTTTTTCGGTGTTTTGGGGTGTTTTGGGTGATTTTGGGTGATTTTGGGGTGTTTTCTTGTTTTTTTCTCAGTGGTTTGAGGTGGTTTTGGCATTTTTGGGGTGATTTTAGGTGTTCCTTGGTGGTTTTGGGGATGTTTTGGGTATTTGAGATTGTTTTGAGGTGTTTTCAGGGTGTTCTTTTGTGGGTTTATGGTGTTTTAGGGTGTTTGGGGGGTTTGGAGTGTTTTGGGGTGTTTTATGGTATTTTCTGGGTGTTTTTGGGGTGTTTTAGGGTGTTTTTGTGTTTCAGGGTGTTTTTTTGTGGCTTTTCGGTGCTTTAGTGTGCTTTTTTTGTTGTTTTGGGGTGCTTTTTTGGTGGATTTCTTGTGTTCTATGGGGTTTGGGGGTGGTTTAAGGTGGTTTTGTGTTTTGGGGTGGTTTAGGCCTTTTTTGTGGTTTTGGGGTGGTTTTGTGTGTTTTAGGGTGGTTTTGGGGTATTTTAAGGTGTTTTGTGTGTTTTCGGGTGTTTTTTGGTGGTTTTGGGGTGTTTTGGGGGTAAGTTTTGGGTGGTTTTTGTGGTTTTGGGGTGTTTTGGGGGTAAGTTTTGGGTGTTTTTTGTGGTTTTGGGGTGTTTTTGGGCAAATTTTGGGTGGTTTTTGTGGTTTTGGGGTGGTTTGGGGTATTTTTGGGGGTGTTTTCGGCTGGTTTTGGGTGTTTTCGAATTGTTTTAGGGTGGTTTAGGTTGGTTTAGGGTTTTTTTTTTGAGTTTCTGCTGTGGTTTTGGTGTGGTTTAGGCTGTTTTTGAGGTGGTTTTGGTTGTTTTTGGGTGTTTTTGGTGTGTTTTAGGTTGTTTTGGGGGTGTTTCAGGGTGGTTTTGGTGTGTTTCAGGGTGGTTTTGGGGTGTTTCAGGGTGGTTTTGGGGTGTTTCAGGGTGGTTTTGGTGTGTTTTAGGTTGTTTTGGGGGTGTTTCAGGGTGGTTTTGGTGTGTTTTAGGGTGTTTTTGGGGTGTTTCAGGGTGGTTTTGGTGTGTTTTATGTTGGTTTTGGGGTGTTTCAGGGTGGTTTTGGTGTGTTTTTTTGTGTTTCGGGGTGGTTAAGCGTGGTTTAGAGTTGTTTTCAGTTGTTTTCGGGTGTTTTTTGTGTGTTTTAGGTTGTTTTGGGGGTGTTTTAGGGTGGTTTAGGGTTATTTTCGTGTGGTTTTGGTGTGCTTTAGGTTGTTTTTGGAGTGTTGGTTTTTTTGGGGTGTTTTGGGGTGTTTTGGTGCATTTTAGGTTGGTTTTGGGGTGTTTTCAGGTGGTTTTGGGTGCTTTGAGGTGTTTTGGGTGTTTTAGGTTGTTTTGGGTGTGTTTTAGGTTGTTTTTGGTGTTTTTTAGGTTGTTTTGGGGTGTTTTCGGGTGATTTTGGGGTGTTTTCAGGTGATTTGGGAGTGTTTTCAGTTGTTTTGGGGGTGTTTCTGGTTGGTTTTGGGGTGGTTTAGGTTGTCTTTGGTGTATTTTAGGTTGTTTTGGGGTGTTTTTGGGTTGTTTGTGTGTGGTTTCAGTTGTTTTTGGTGTGTTTTACGTTGTTTTTGGTGGTTTTAGGTTGTTTTGGGGTGTTTTCGTGTGATTTTGGGGTGCTTTCGCGTGATTTTGGGGTGTTTTTGGGTGATTTGGGAGTGTTTTCAGTTGTTTTGGGGGTGTTTCCGGTTGGTTTTGGGGTGTTTTAGGTTGTCTTTGGTGTATTTTAGGTGGTTTTGGGGTGATTTCATTTGGTTTGGGGGTGTTTTCAGTTGTTTTGGGGGTGTTTCCGGTTGGTGTGTTTTAGTTTTTTTTGGGGTGTTTTCGGGTGTTTTGGGGGCGTTTTGTGGTGGGTTTGGGTGTTTTGGTGTGTTTTATGTTTTCTTTGGTGTGTTTTAGGGTGGTTTGGGGCGGTTTTTGTGGGTTTTGGTGTGTTTTAGGTTGTTTTTGGTGTGTTTTTGCCTGTTTTTGGTGCATTTTAGGTTGGTTTTGGCTGTTCTCGGGGTTCTTTTGGGGAGTTTTGGGGCGGTTTTGGGTGTTTCGGTGTGGTTTGGGGTGTTTTTGGTGTGTTTTAGGTTGTTTCGGGGGTGTTTTCGGGGTGGTTTTGGGTGTTTTGGGGAGTTTTGGGGGTGTTTTGGGGGTGTTTTTGAGGTGTTTTGGGGTGTTTTGGGGTGGTTTTGGGGTGTTCTGGAGAGTTTTGGGGGGTTTTCGGGAGTTTTGGGGGTGTTTTCGGGGTGGTTTTGGGGGTGTTTTGGGAAGTTTTTGGGGTGCTTTCGGGGTGGTTTTGGGGTGTTCTGGGGAGTTTTGGGGGTGTTTTCGGGGTGGTTTTCGGGGTGTTTTGGGAAGTTTTGGGGGTGTTTTCGGGGTAGTTTTGGGTGTTTTGGGGGTGTTTTGGGGGTGTATTTGTGTGGTTTTGGGTGTTTTGGGGTGTTTTGCGGTGTTTTTGGTGTTTTTGGGTGTTTTTGGAAGTTTTTGGGGTGTTTTGGGGGTGTTTTGCTGTGTTTTTGGTTTTTGTGTGTGTTTTGGTGTATTTTGGGGTGTTTTGGGTTTTTTGTGTGTTTTTTGTGTTTTTGGGGTGTTTTTTGGCTGTTTTGGGGTGTTTTTTTGGTGTTTTTGTGTGTTTTTGGGGTGTTTTTTTGGTGTTTCCGGGTTCCCCCTCACCTGTCTCTGGCAGCCCTCGACGATGATGAGTTTCTGCTGCGGGGACGTGCGGGCGAAGACGATCTCGGTGTGGTTCTGCAGGATCTCATCGATCTGCTCCGAGCTCATGTCCTTCAGGTCCGTGCCGTGGATCACGCAGGCCTTGGCGTCCCTTCGGGGCAAAGGGGGGGGTCAGCACCCACGGATCCATAGGGGAAACCCCAAAATCCATAGGGAAAACCCCAAAATCCATAGGGATACCCCTCAAATCCATAGGGAAAACCCAAAATCCATAGGGATACCCCCAAAATCCATAGGGAAAACCCCCAAATCCATAGGGAAAACCCCCAAATCCATAGGGAAAACCCCAAAATCCATAGGGATACCCCTCAAATCCATAGGGAAACCTCAAAACCCATAGGGATACCCCCGAAAACCATAGGAATATCCTGAATCTATAGGGACAACCCTGCAATCCATAGGGATACCCCAAAATCCATAGGGAAACCTTAAAACCCATAGGGAAACCCCCAAATCCATAGGGAAAACTCCAAAATCCATAGGGATACCCCCAAAATCCATAGGGAAAACCCTGAAAGCCATAGGGATATCCTGGAATCCATAGGGAAATCCCCAAAATCCATAGGGAAAACCCCAAAATCCATAGGGAAATCCCCAAAATCCATAGGGGTACCCCTCAAATCCATAGGGAAAACCCCAAAATCCATAGGGAAAACCCCCAAATCCATAGGGAAAACCCCAAAATCCATAGGGAAAACCCCAAAATCCATAGGGATACCCCTCAAATCCATAGGGAAAACCCCCAAATCCATAGGGAAAACCCCCAAAATCCATAGGGAAAACCCCCAAATCCATAGGGATACCCCAAAATCCATAGGGATACCCCAAAATCCATAGGGAAAACCCCCAAATCCATAGGGAAAACCCCCAAATCCATAGGGATACCCCGAATCTATAGGGACAACCCCAAAATCCATAGGGAAAACCCCAAAATCCATAGGGATACCCCCAAAATCCATAGGGAAAACCCCAAAATCCATAGGGATATCCTGGAATCCATAGGGAAATCCCCAAATCCATAGGGAAAACCCCAAAATCCATAGGGGTACCCCTCAAATCCATAGGGAAAACCCCAAAATCCATAGGGAAAACCCCCAAATCCATAGGGAAACCCCAAAAATCCATAGGAATATCCTGAATCTATAGGGACAACCCTGCAATCCATAGGGATACCCAAAAATCCATAGGGAAACCTTAAAACCCAAAATCCATAGGGATACCCCTCAAATCCATAGGGAAAACCCCAAAATCCACAGGGAAAACCCCAAAATCCATAGGGATACCCCTCAAATCCATAAGGAAAACCCCAAAATCCATAGGGAAACCCCAAAAATCCATAGGAATATCCTGAATCTATAGGGACAACCCTGCAATCCATAGGGATACCCCAAAATCCATAGGGAAAACCCCCGAATCTCTAGGGAAACCCCTGAAATCCATAGGGATAATCCCCAAATCCATAGGGATACCACAACATCCATAGGGATAACCCAGAATCCATAGGGACACCCCAAAATGCACTGGGGAGCCCCCCAAATCCCCCCCCCCCCCATAGCGCCCCATATCCCCCTAAATCCTCCCTAGCTCCTCTCCATCACCCCCAATTCCCCCTCCATAGCACCCCCAATCCCCCATAACCTCCTACATCCGCCCCATAGCACCCCATATCCCGCCTATAGCGCCCCATAGCACCCCATAGAGACCCATAGCACCACATAGCACCCCATAGCGCCCCATAGCGCCCCATAGTGCCCATAGAGCCCCATAGCACCCCATATCCCCCCTATAGTGCCCATAGCACCCCATAGTGCCCATAGCGCCCCATAGCACCCCATATCCCCCCTATAGTGCCCATAGCACCCCACAGAGTCCCATATCCCCCCTATAGTGCTCATAGCGCCCCATAGCACCCCATAGAGACCCATAGCACCACATAGCACCCCATAGCTACCACTGCACTCCATAGCGCCCCATAGCGCCCCATAGTCCCCATAGCACCCCACAGCGCCCTATAGCACCCCATAGCACCCCATAGCGACCACAGTGCTCCATAGCGCCCCATAGAGCCAAATAGTGGCTGTAGAGCCCTATAGTGCCTCATAGCACCCCATAGTGCCCATAGCGCCCCATAGTGCCCTATGGCGCCCATAGAGACCCACAGCACCCCATAGCACCCACAGCACCCCATAGCGCCCACAGCAGCCCATAGTGCCCCATAGTGCCCTCTGGTGCCCATAGAGCCCCATAGCACCCCATAGTGCCCCACAGTGCCCTATGGCACCCATAGCACCCCACAGCCCCCATAGTGCCCTATGATGCCCATAGAGCCCTATAGCACCCCATAGCGCCCCATAGTACCCCACATCACCACATAGTGCCCTATGGCACCCAGAGCACTCCATAGCACCCCACAGTGCCCCATAGTGCCCTGTGGCTCCCATAGATGCTCCTAGCACCCCATAGCACCCCATAGAACCCACAGCAGCCCATAGCGCCCATGGTGCCCTATGGCACCCATAGAGCCCCATAGCACCCCATAGCACCCACAGCGCTCCATAACACCCACAGCGCCCCATAGTGCCCTATGGCACCCATAGAGCCCCACAGCGCCCCATAGCACCCACTGCGCTCCATAGCGCCCCATAGTGCCCTATGGCACCCATAGAGCCAGCCCCCATAGCACCCCATAGCACCCACAGCAGCCCATAGCGCCCCATAGTGCCCTATGGCACCCATAGAGCCCCACAGCGCCCCATAGCACCCACTACGCTCCATAGCGCCCCGTAACGCCCACAGCGCCCCATAGTGCCCTATGGAGCCCATAGAGCCCCATAGCACCCCATAGCACCCACAGCAGCCCATAGAGCCCCATAGTGCCCTATGGCACCCATAGCACCCCATAGCACCCACACCCATAGCACCCCCCATAGTGCCCTATGGAGCACCCCACAGCGCCCCATGCACCCCATAGCACCCATAGCACCCATATCCCCGCAGCACCCATAGCACCCATAGCACCCCATGGACCCCATAGCACCCATAGCACCCATAGCGCCCCATAGCACCCATAGCACCCATAGCACCCCATGGACCCCATAGCACCCATAGCACCCATAGCACCCCATGGACCCCATAGCCCCCCATGGACCCCATAGCGCCCCATAGCACCCCATGGCACCTCATATGGAGGTGCCCTATGGCACCCAGAGCACCTATAGTCATAGCACCCATAGCACAGTGCCCCATAGCACCCATAGCACCCCATAGCACCCATAGCACCCATAGCACCCCATAGCACCCATAGCACCCTATAGCACCCTATAGCACCCCATAGCACCCATAGCACCCCATAGCACCCCATAGCACCCATAGCACCCCATAGACCCCTATAGCACCCATAGCACCCATAGCACCCATAGCACCCATAGCACCCATAGCACCCATAGCACCTCAATACCTGGAGGTGCAGTATGACTGCGTGCCCTATAGTGAGTGCTGCCCCACGGCGCCTGCCCCATAGCACCCATAGCACCCATAGCACCCACAGCACCCATAGCACCCATAGCACCCACAGCACCCATAGCACCCATAGCGCCCCATAGCACCCATAGCACCCATAGCACCCATAGCACCCACAGCACCCATAGCACCTCAATACCTGGAGGTGCAGTACGACTGCGTGCCCTATAGTGAGTGCTGCCCCACGGCGCCTGCCCCATAGCACCCATAGCACCCATAGCACCTCAATACCTGGAGGTGCAGTACGACTGCGTGCCCTATAGTGAGTGCTGCCCCACGGCGCCTGCCCCATAGCACCCATAGCACCCACAGCACCCATAGCACCCATAGCACCTCAATACCTGGAGGTGCAGTACGACTGCGTGCCCTATAGTGAGTGCTGCCCCACAGCGCCTGCCCCATAGCACCCATAGCACCCATAGCACCCATAGCACCCATAGCACCCACAGCACCCATAGCACCCACCCCACAGCACCCCCATCCCCCTCAGCTCCCCTGGGCCCCCTCCTGTGTTGTGGCTCTGGGTGTGGGGGGGGGGGCAGGGTCCAGGTGCCCCCCCCAGGTCCCGCAGCCCCTCCCCCCCCCCCCATCCGCTCCCTTTGGGGGGTCCCCCCCAGGCCCCCCCCTTTGTCTCTCCCCAGGCTCCGTCGCGGGACCCCCCTGACCCCCCCTTTGCTTTGCAGGCGTCGCCGGAGGGGGGAGGACGGAGCCCCCAGCACACGCTAAGCACACGCTAAGAACACGCTAAGCACAGGCCTACAGGCCAGACACATGCAAAGTACATGCTAAGCACATGCAAAGTACATGCTAAGCACATCCTGTACATGCTAAGGACAGGCTGTACACGCTAAGCACATCTTGTACTTGCTAAGGACAGGCTGTACATGCTAAGTACACCTTGTACATGCTAAGCACATGCAAAGTACAGGCTAAGCACATGCAAAGTACATGCTAAGCACATCCTGTACACGCTAAGGACAGGCTGTACATGCTAAGCACATGCAAAGTACAGGCTAAGCACAGGCTGTACATGCTAAGCACATGCAAAGTACAGGCTAAGCACAGGCTGTACATGCTAAGCACATGCAAAGTACAGGCTAAGCACATGCAAAGTACATGCTAAGCACACCTTGTACACGCTAAGGACAGGCTGTACATGCTAAGTACACCTTGTACATGCTAAGCACATGCAAAGTACATGCTAAGCACATCCTGTACACGCTAAGGACAGGCTGTACATGCTAAGTACACCTTGTACATGCTAAGCACATGCAAAGTACATGCTAAGCACATCTTGTACATGCTAAGGACAGGCTGTACATGCTAAGTACACTTTGTACATGCTAAGCACATGCAAAGTACATGCTACGCACATCCTGTACACGCTAAGGACAGGCTGTACATGCTAAGTACACCTTGTACATGCTAAGCACATGCAAAGTACATGCTAAGCTCATGTTGTACATGCTAAGCACATCTTGTACGTGCTAAGCACATCTTGTACATGCTAAGCACGGGCTGTACATGCTAAGCACAGGCTGTACATGCTAAACACAGGCTGTACATGCTAAGGATAGGCTGTGCAT